AAAGATAAATATGAAGAAAAAAGAGAAGGTGAACATAAAGTTGAAGATCGAAATGTAGATGTATATTGGTGAAGACGGAGATGAGGACGAAGATGAAGATCTACATGAAGAAGATATTAAAGATAGAGATAAAGATAAAGATAATTTTTCAAATAATAATGAGTAACCTAAGCACTCACTATAAAAAAGAAAAATGTGTATGTCCTCTTTCCTTTCTAGAAGTTATTCTATATATCGAGAGCTTATGTTCAATACCCTCTATCTGCAATTTTCACAAAAACTACTTTGTGATATTAGAACCCATCTGAGACTGACGTGCCATCACCGATACAAGGTCAGTATTAATATCGCCGATGACAGTTAAGTGTTAGGTATAATTTTATATCGGAATCTCATTTTTGTGAAAAGTGCAGATAGAGGGTATTGAATATAAGCCCTCGATATACAGTTTCACATCTTCCGAGCGTAGGGACTGCACGCACTCCATATTTTTTTTTTTTATTTTGTTAAGTTCCAAAATATCTACGAAATTCATTAAACCAGTTTTAGTAAGAAATAGCATCCACCCTATACGGTGGGGTTTCCATTTCTATTTTGTATAAGGCGAAAATATTTTGCTTTGCATTTTTGGAAATTTCCAATCGCGGCGGAATCGACCCTATCCGACACTATCTTCTTCTATTTTCTTCTATCTTCTTTTATCGACTTCATCTATTTTTCGGTTTTATGACTTCAAAAAATTTATTTTTTAAGAGAACCGGCTGATAAAAGGTTACTGCCATCCCTAAATGGACGCATCAAGGAACGGTCAAAAATCCTCATGCCCATACAATTTGTATTATTTTGTCTGTGCTGCCGAATATTGATGGATTACACAAGAATTTCGTTTTTGATATTGCTTCATATAGTTCTATTCTTAAATAGTTGAGGTCTACCCTTTATCTGTACTATACTCCCTTGTGGCAAAGTTATATTATATACAAAATTATTTTTGTTTTTTTACTTTTGTGATGTTGAGTTGAACCGAGATTGAACCCAGGCCCTGCGGAGTGGTAGCGCGCACTGCTAACAACTGTGCCTTCTCTCACATTGCCAATTAAAATGAAAAATTTGCAAAAATGTCTAATTGCGAGTATCCATAACTAGCTGTGCAACAAACGCTAATTTGAAATTATTAGCGAATTTAAATAATTGATGATCGAAGAGATGCGATAAAAATGCAGCCGCAAAAATTTTTCACTGTCCAACCGAACTATTAAAAAAAAAAAGAAAAGATTTAAAACCCGACATAACAAAGCGTAAAGTTGAAGAAGCAACCAAAGCAACAACAACAACACACATTTTGCATTTTTGGCAACACTGCCTTTGGCCATAACGTAACAATGCAACAACAGCCGGCAACTAACAAAAAAAAAAAAAAAACAAAAAAAAAAAAAAAACAGCCAACCATTCAGGCAGTATGTGCCAAAAAAAGTGAAAGTTCATTCGCTGGCGAAAAACGAAAAACTTAAGACACAAACCCGCTCGCAGGCTGCTGGCTGCACAAAATAGTATTTTTGGTTTTGGTTGTGCAGCGGCGAAAACGCGTGTGCTGCTGTGTGTGTGGGTGCTGCTGCTGTCATGGAGTTGCAGTTATTTTTTGGCAGCGGCACGCAAGGTTTGCAACACCATCACCGCCATTGGCTTCGTGTTGCCCACACACGGACACGGACTCGGACTCAAAATACGAGTACACCTCAAAATACATATTTCATAATTAATGAAAAGTAAAACTTTTTTAACGAATCCATAAATCGCGCATATGAATTTCATACATGCAAAACGTGATTTTGTATGACTCTCGGCAATTACAGTTATGATTCGGCGCGTGAAGTAGCGATCGGCATGCAGCCAGCCATGTGTGTGTGTGGTGAGGCAATTTTGGGCAAGCAGCAGACTGCTGGGCAGCGCTATTGAGTACGTCTTTATAAATGCATACAAATTGAGTACAAATTTTCATTGAGGCCGCAATTAAAAACAAAATCGTGGAATGCTTCATAGCTACATACATACATACATACATATGTAATTACAAACGTATGCGCATTAACTAATTGTTGTTTAACTGTATGTGTCATATTAGCCCAAGCAACAATGAGAAAGGGTTAAATTCACATGACCTCTCCGCACTTGTAGCCAGCCACACAGCTTAACGCTACTTTTTTTTTGTGCACTTAATTGGCAAATGGTAAATTTGTTAGCTGCCAAATTTGAAAGCAATGAAAGGCCATCACGAGGGCTGGCTGCCGCTTTGGTAACTAAGTATGGGTGCTTATAGCTGGCTGAGTTCACACACACATAGCGGTTTACGCATACTTAGGTGGCGAAAACAGTCTTCCGGGTTCAAAATTGCATGCAAATTGGTGGTGGTATCGATGCATACATTCTTCATACATTCACACTTACCTTACCTGCATACAGGGGCGTGCAATTAATGCCAAGGTAATAATTAGTTAAACCACATAATTGGCTACTAAACAATTTGGATTGCTTAGATTTCGGTTTTTGTCTAGTTTTGAATGTTTAAAAATTTACTGAGTTCTTATTTTAAGAAATACACTCGTAAAAACGTACCCGTGAATCATAATACTTATACTTTACGTTTGCACATTAGTGTGCGCCTTATTTGTATGGAGAAAATTTTTTTTGTAAGCTACAAAGCCAGACTCCCGCTGGGCAGGTGCGTTTGGCCATAAAAACTATGTCAACTCTGTCTAACATTTTTAAAATAGGATAATGGAAAGACGTGCCTCAATAACCCCTAAGTTGCATACGCTAAGCCGTTAAACCTTACATAAAGTAGGAAAAATAATTAATATTTCAGGCTGAGCACAAATCATGCCAAATGAACGTATCCAGAGGGAGTCTTACTTTGTGGGTCGAAGTTGAAAAGTAAGGCGCAGCCTAATGCACATGTATACATTAGTGCGCGCCTTATTTGTTTGGCGGCAAGACTCTCTTAGGCCTGTCTCAAGCTCAAGCATATGACTTCTGAGTACAGACCGCGTGATCGCCATCGCAAAAGAATTTTCATAGAGATCTTGAAGATAAGAAACAAACCGAATCCACTCAGCACACTTTCCTTTATTTTTCGGTAAAGAGGTTTCGGATTTGTGGAAGATATTTTTTTTTTCTCGCGGCACCGTCGGACTAGATTCGTAAAATTTGAGGTTGGCTTATAAGCTGTGATCGAGTTTCAGTTCGAGTCAAGTTTTGCATATTAAGGACCAGTTGCTCAATGTCTGGTTAGCACTAACTGCGCATTAAACATCGTTATCGACGTGGTACTCTTCATAACATATAACATAATAGCGAGTCGGTAACGTCGATAACAATGTTTAACCTGCAGTTAGTGTTAAGCAGACATTGAGTTACCGGCCCTACATGGAACCTTATTACCAAGTAAACAATCTAAACAACGATCTAGCGTTTTCAACACCCTGTATGTGACTGCATTAGCATTGTTAATCCGTTATATTGCAAAGTACAAATTTTCCCTAAGTATTCAAAAATATCCGCAGTTATGTAATTTTTTATGTGGCATACATTTGCATATGCACAAATAATTTTACATGAACACATTTATACACACACACATGCACATTTGAATGTATGTATATTTAACTGTTGCTTAATAATAAAACCGAATTTATCGCTTTGAAGACACAAAATAACAGAGTGGCACAAAATCGGTATGACTAATCGTTGTTGTGTTACTGTCTTGGCGGCCCCCAACAGGTTATTTTTGTTCCCCTTCCACGCCCTGCCTCGCAAGCCGCATTTCAAACTTCAATTATACCTTTTTTTTAGCAAAGCGAAAATAAATAAAATGCGCAATCGCGAAAAACGAATAAAATACAAAATTCAAAGCAAATGTCGCGCGCGTACCTTTTTGGCCTTACACAAAGTCGTCGTTTAAGCTGCTTTTATTGTTTCAACCCAGAAGAAATTCAACAGAAGCGAGATGGTAGAGTGAAACCTTCGTACACAAATTCCCATTCAACAAAGTTCTTGCACATTCGTACATACAAACATACACATTTTTTTTTGTTTTAAAACCTTTTCGCCGTCGTCATTAATTTTTGCCTCTTCCCTTGCACGTTCTTTTGCAATCCAATTATTTATTGCTTTATTTTCGCAAATTCGTACATCGCACCTGCTCGCTCTGTGACTCTACGTTCGATGCGTTCGTTGCTTTAACTGCTCTTTCAACTTCGACTTCAACTTCAACTTCAACTGCGTTTTCAGTTTCAGCTGTCCATTTCCACATTTGCAGTTTGCAGAGTAAAGTTCTGCACTTCAAGCGCTTTCTGCGGCACTCTGCGGTTGCTTTCCGGCTTAATTTCTGCTCGCTGTTGGTTCCTCTACTCATTGGCTACCCAACGTTGACCTGATGGATTAATAGCGTTTTGCAGATTCATTTTAATGCATTCGAACACGAATTCAGTCGTTTTGTGTTACCTGCTGCTTCCGGCTTCCCAAGGCGCTACAGGTTCGGTATGGGTCGTTGCATCGATGAATTGACTGGGAGGAGCCTTCTTTGGCTGATAGTTGGCAGCTGTAGCAGCTGACTTCAAAAGCATGCAACGGTATTTCCTTTTCTCATCGAGTTCCCACGCAAACAAAGAGCCTGCTATGAATGGGATAAAAGCAAAAGTAGAAAGAGGTACATAAAATTCGCTTAGAGGCACACAAACACCAAACAAAAGCTGTGGCACGGAAGGAAGCTGTAAAATTTGGGTTTTCTACAAGCTTTTAGGTGCCGATTGGCATTGAAGACACTGTCTTTTTGTGGATAGCGAATGAGTTCTGCGAATTTGGTTTGAGTTTGGCTGAATGTGAGGATTTTGTGTTGCTTAACCGCCGCAAACGGCAAAGTTGTTGTTGGAATCAGCGTACGCCAATTAAGAAAACGAAGGTCGAACTTTTGTTTGATATTTTTTAGTAAGACGAATGGGTAGAGTAACCAAAATAAGGATTCTATGCTTTTAATTTTAAGTCTCGCAGAGGTGGCAACCCTATTTCAAAGTGTTCGATTCTATAGGAAATACCAATTTTTGTTACGCGACTAGTATTTTTTCAAGCTCATAAATTTAGTACCAAATTATCTCTTAAACAATTGCAACGAACAAAAATACATGCGGGTAAATGGCATTATTTATTTCGCTTTCGATTTTCTATAAACACCCTTCCAGAGATAGCACCTACTTAACACTGCATATCCAAGATGTACTTCTTTCCCACCAAACCCTTCAAGTCCAAGGTTGCTGCCACCGCCGCTTTGTACTCCTTCAACGGCACCATCTCACACTTGACGCCCTTCAACTTTCCTTGCTGGAACATTTTCATTAGATCAGCGAACATTTTCTCACGCGCAGGCGTTTTGACATGGTTCCGCATCCAACGCGTCACCCAAAATCCACAAAATGAGATGTTCTTAAAGATCAGCGCAGGCGTCGAGACCATAACCGGCTGTCGCGACATACCGCCATAGGTGACCATCACCCCCATGGGTGCCAGCTGTTTTGTAATGTCCGACGCATTCTTGCCACCAACACAATTGAGCGCCAGACGCGGCGCTGGCAGCTTCTTCTTGAAGATATCCGTCTTCGCCAACTCCTCCTCCGTGAGTATTTCACTTGCGCCCAGCTCTTTCAGATAGGTTTTCACCTCCTCCAAATTCGGTCGATTGCGCACCACACCGACAGACTTCAGGCCCCACTCCTTGCACAGCTGATGCACCATCTGTCCCACAGCGCTATTCGCACCATTCTGTATGACACAATCGCCCTGAGTGAGCGGCACAAAATCCTTCAGCATGCGATAGGCTGTCGGTGGATTTACAACCAAAGTGGCTGCGGCAGCCAAGTCGATTTCATTCGGAATGCACATCAGCTGATGCTCCTCGAGGACAGCGTGTGTGCGCCAGGTGCCCAGAGCATTCTCGACCACAACGACACGCTGCCCTGGCTTAAGCTGTTGCACTTTGTCGCCCACCTGCAGCACTTCGGCCACACCCTCATTGCCGGCGATGGCTGGTAGGGGCAGCTTCACTGGATATTTGCCCTGTATGGTGTTGATGTCGGAGGGGTTGATGGGTGCGGCTAGCAGCTTTACCAGCACTTGCGTGTCTTTTGGTTCTGATGCGGTGAGCTCAACCAGCTCCAGGACGTCAGCGGGTTCACCATACTTGCAGTATTGTAGCGTTTGTGCGCATATATTCGACGCGTAACGGTGTAACGTGTTATCGGCGGTGTTGCGTCGTAATATAGAAGGTATACGGCGGCGTAATTGTGAAAACATATTCGATGAATGAGTCAAGGCTGAATTTATTTGAGCTATTTTCCCATCTGTCTGAAAGAAGAAATATTTTTTCTTTCTGTCAGTTTGAAGTTGGAGAGCACAGTGCTGGGAAACACACACTTTAAATTGAGTAAAGTAATTCGTTAATGATTTGAATATCGAAAACTGAGACGCTTTAACCCTCTGACGACCAAGATAGTTAAGGGTATCAAATCAACTGACGTCAGAATTTTGTATATTTTCTAAGCTATTTTTGTAATAAAAGCTAATGTTTGAGTTTAAAACTTTATTTCCGTTCTGAAAATTGGTTAATGGGTTAAATACGAAACCTGTTTGTTCTTTTCATTCCAGCTCAGCTCGCTATACCCGTAATTTTTTATACGAGTATGTATTTGATAGGAATAAAGGGGCGAATGACTGCTATTCTTAGAAAAAAATAAAATCTTGCCTTTCTAAAAAGTGATAGTAATCTATTATTTTTTCTTCAGAAAAAAGCTATAATTTCAGACTTAGAATTTCCAGATCTCGCACAAAAGTATACCTAAATATTTACAAGCACTCTATGTAGTGGTTTCAGGTTTTACCCATTGGCGAAAAATCTCAACGTGACTAACCGCGCACAAAGTACAAGTTCTCTTCATCAGATGCCCGCAATGAAGGTCAACTTTCTTTGGTAAATACAAAACTGCGTTTAGTATTGCAAAATAAGTGAAAAACTCTTACGTATTTTGGGGTAATTTCACAGCTGTGCCATTGCGCTTCACTTTGCCATTTCATATTTCGAGCGTAAGCAAAGTGTGAACACACACACACACACATACAACATAGTAGCAAATTGTCGATTACACAACACGCGAAAGTGAAGCCAAAGTCAAGCCGCCCCGTCCAATCAAGCTGCGAAAATCCAAATTGCTAAGTGAGCCAAGTCGGCCAAGTCAGCTCGGCTCCGCTCCACTGCGTCATTGCGTCGATTGCGGGCAAATGTGGGTGTTTTGACGCATTGTTGTGGCGCTCATACATACGTAGCATAACTGTCGACGAAGAAGTGTGTGTGTGTGCGTGTGTGATCGCACTGTCGATTAACATGCGCTCTGATGAATTGTAATTATGTTGTTTATTGGGCGTGTTGGGCAATTTGTTTGAATTGGTTGAACGTATGTTTTGTATGTACTCGTATTTAGCATAATGGAGGGGTGTTGGCAGTGGACTACATACCCACAACTAAATAGCTCGTTGGCTTAGCACTCCCATATGTATGTACATATGTATGTATGTACTTGTCAGACATAAAGACATGCTGTTAGCTAAATTAAAATACAGTTATTTAAAAACCAATCTATAGCACATATAATAACATTGCTGGCGGAAAGGATAGGCATTTTCAGTTATGACGTAAGATCGTGGGTTCAATGTACAGAGCTGAAAATTTTAGAATGAAATTAAGCTTTCCTGGTCCAGTGTAGACCAACGATCAGTTGAGATAAAGTAGCAAAACGCTTTTGTCTATATTTTTTTTAATCTTTCATTCATTTTTCGCACATTATAACTGGACATAAATTGTTAAGAATTTAAAAGCTGAAAATAAGATTTA